AAATACAGCGACAAGAGCAGAGACGAGGAGTACAGTGTAGTGTAAAAGTTTAAAAAAGTAAAAAGTTGGCAGTAAAGAGACGAAGACGAAGACGAAGTCGTGGTGGTACTCTCGGGCGTCGCACCGGTCCGGCTTGAGTGCACGCGGCACGACGTAAAAGAGGGGATAGGGGACCTTGAGTGTTGTCACGTGACCGCTTAGGTGCATTGGGGGTAGGGCGACGAGGGCCTTGACCTTACCACTGATGCGATGCTGCATCGGGCAGGCAGCTCCCCGCTTCCTCTTACTGCATCCCCGATCAGATCCGAGCAGAGTCTCTGTACTTATACTTGTACTACTCAACAGAGAATAGAGAATCGAGAATGTCCCCCGTATGGTTCTCTAGCTCGAGCTATAGTACTCTATTCTCTCATCTGTATCTTCCATACGTGAAACAGTTGAGGAAGAAATAACAGAGCAGCCAACACTGACTACATAGAGACAAACTCGAGACTCGAGACTTTAAACTTAAACCATAAGGAAGAATATAAAAACAAGACCAAGAGCAAGATGATGAGCATGCGCGGATTCTACCAGCTCTCACGACCGACACTCAACTCCTCTCCACTCTTATTACTATATTCTTCTTCCTTTTGGTGCTCTTACTCTGTTACTCCACTTGCAACTGCTTCCAAAAACGTTGACCTCTTCATCCCCTTCCGGTAACATTTTTTTTTTGTTAATTGTTATCTTGGACAATTAAAGAGGAGACTAATAAAGCCTTAAAGAATTTTTTTTTTAATGATTTAATTTATAAGACAATTATTTTTGGTCATTTTTTGGACAAATTTTTATTTTTTTTTTAATTTTTTCGCAGTTAAAAAATCAAAAAATAAATATTTATCTTGTTTTTTTGATAAAATGTTTAAAAATTAATTTATAGAGCTCACAATTTTTTTTTTTTTTAAATCAAGAATAAAAAAAAAACTTTTTAATTTATAAAAATTGACATTTAATTAATTATTTAGGGATGATTTTTTATAATTTGATTAAGAAGACAAAAATTTTTAAATTCAATTATTTTTGGTCATTTTTTGAATAAATTTTTATTTTTTTTTTTAATTTTTTCGCAGGTAAAAAATCAAAAAAATATATATTTATCTTGTTTTTTCAAAAATATATTTAAAAATTAATTTATAGAGCTTACAATTTTTTTTTAAATCAAGAAAAAAAAAATTTGTGATTTAAAAATTTTTTTAAATTTATAAAAATTGACATTTAATTAATTATTTAGGGACGATGAAAATATTTTATCGATTAGCATGATATATATTTTTTAATAAAAAATTGGACAATTTTGAAAAAACAGTCTCTTATAATTTTTTTATTTTATAAATTCACTTCTTTAAAATTTATCAAGGTTTAATTTGAACATACTCTAAATTTTAATTTTTCGTCGTTAATATTAATAAGAGAAATATTTTGTTAATATTAATAAAAGAAAAATTTTTGATTTAATTTAAAAAATATTTTTTTTCTATACAACGGGGACTAGAAAAGGTTATGACGAAAACGCTTATAAAATACATAATAATAAATAGAATAAATAATAAAAATCTAATATCTGAATGGCAGTAGTGGTAGGTGGGAGGTGGAAGCTGGGAAAAGTTAAAAAAAATAAAAAGAGAGGCAAGGATAAGGATAAGGCGAAGTAAAGTAGTGTAGAGCAACGCCCAAACGAGATAACCGGTCGCTCAGTGCTCGGTACTGTCGGTCTGCGTGTCTTAGAACCAGAAGCGAGAGGATATATATTCTTATTCTTATTCTTATGTGTGTATATGTAAAAAAAGAAAGAGAGACCGATACCGACGAGGTGGCCCGGCAGGAATGCAGGTCCTGCGATTATCTATTTATTTTATTAATCGATAAAAACTCCGAGAACAGGTTCCGGCAGCTGTTGCCCGTCCGGTCCCACAAGTTACCGATTAAAAATAATATAATAAACCAAATCCCTTTTATTTTCTCTATTGAGCGCTAAGCGAACGCGAAACGTAAGCTAGATACGCGAGATTAAACTATTTTCCCTCGGGTTCTCCAGTTCCCTTTTATTTCCCGGTTTCCAGTTCTCCGTTCCCAGTAGATACGCCAGATTTCCTAAAACGGAAGTTAATAAATATCACGAGATTCTCGGATTATTCTCCATGTCGGAAGAGTGAAATTGTCGTATAGGACATGTAATGCTGTATAAAGTATTAAGTATACTTAATTCTCAAAGATCTTCCGTCTACGGAAATACGAGTGTTGGTACTCGCTACCAAAGCATGCAACTCTTCTCGTCTTTATAAATGTCTCTTTGTATTACTGTACATGGAACGTAAAGAAGAAATTACTTGTAAAATTTATGAGAATCTCAATTTTTTAATTTAATTTTCAGATTTTTTGTCAGAATAAAAACAAAAGATGAATTATTAAAATATCAATAATAATAAAATAATGTTTTAAAATTGAAGTTAGTTTTCTATTTTCTTTTAAATTATCTAAAAAATTTGGAAATTATTCTACAAAGGACAAAATTTCTTGAATCAATAAAATATTCTTCAAGTTTTTACTCCAAAATTTTTTTAATTCATATAACACGTCAATTTTTCTTTATAATCTTTCGATTAAAGCTAGAATTACTCTTGCAAGAAAAAATAAAAGATAACTAATAAAAAATTCAATTTAATCAAAGAAAAAAAATTCCTTATCCAAAAAATCACTTTTAAATAAAAGCTTTTCAATGTTTTGAATTAACTAAAAATTTTTCATCTTATTTCAAAACATTCAAACTCTTGTAAATTTTCTTGCATAGTTCAAAAATTCCTCTTTGATATCAATTTAATTTACAAAATAAAATAAATCAATATCTTGAGCTCCAAATTATAATTTTCATCATCCAACCAATAAACAAATATAATATCTTCCTGCAATTATAATTTTACAATTCAAAAAGTTAAATCTAATATACTGCTTATTTTTGTATGTATATCTAAATCTCTATTACTACACACTAATTCTTAATCCAAATCCAATATCTTCCAGCATAGCACAGGAATCCCTGGATATTTAATTCTTCTATTCCTTTCATCTTTTATCTCTCAACATATAATACACATGTATCGCGAATGTGTAGACAACACACCAGTCCCAAGAATGCGTAAATCCCCCTGTCGACCTCGCGTCAATTCTCCCTTCCAATACATTCATATAATATATTTATACACATTTCTACATACATTCAAAGAATCTTCCACCATTGGCTTTTACTCTTATATATATCTTATATATATAATATATATTCCCTTTACTCTCTTCACATACATGGAATATGACATATGTGTGCGTATATGCGTCACATCGCGGCTAAGAATTTTTTATAAGCCGGCCCAAGGCAACCACCGCCTCGTACCCTGCTGTCTGTCCTCTGTCCTCTCTCAATCTACGACTTACACTGTACAATACATACATAATCCATTAAACACATATGTATAATGTGTCTACATACAAAAAGTATAAATATAAGTATATGGGTATTTATAAAACAAATAAAAATAAAATAGAGTTTAATTTATAAGCGCAGACGTCAGATTGGATGAGTGAGTCTCTTAAATGTCGGTAGCGCCCTCAACTCTTTACTTTGCTTACCATCTCACAATAACAATTACACATACTTGTATATATTTGTATGTATGAATGTATGAATATGTTCACATATGATCTATCTCTTCTCTATGTTCTTCCCTCTTTCTCACTGTTGATTGTATTTATATCGTCTGCCATGTGCGTGTCCGTTTCCGCGCGAAGGTCGTTCGCGGGACCGGAAGTGGGCCGGCCTTGCACGGACGACCGTTACGCACGTTCGCGAACCTTAACTATGATTAGTTTCATTTCATTGTAAATTTTTATTATATTTATTTATTTATTTATTTATTCAAATCTATGATGTAAATAAATATTCTCAGTAGTAAGAGAATATTTTTATCATTATTTATAATAATAATAATAATAATAATAATGAATGAGTTGTTTATTTAGCATTTGCTACATATTTCACAATTTTATAATTCTATCTTTGGTACAAAAACCTGAGCATATATTATTTTATAAATACATTTTTTTGATATGATTTTTCAATAATCTCTTAACCATAACTAGCAACTTTTCTAAAAATTAAAATTTTGCTTTATTAAATCATGACATGTTAAATTGCACTGTATTTTCTTAACTATTGACATATTTTTAAAGATATAAGCTCATCTCGACGTTACACTCATCAAGACCTTTCATTTGAGTACCCACATGCATTTTCATATATTTTTCATATATACGCATATATATATAATATATATAAATATATAAAATATATATGAAAAATTGATGTGGGTACTCAAATGAAAGGTCTTGATGAGTATGTAACATCGGGATGAGCTTGTATCTTGAAAAATGTCAATAGTTCACAAGATACAAGGTAATTTCTTAATTATGCAAAATTGCACTGTACTTTCTTAACAATTGACTTTTTTAAAGATATAAGCTCATCCCGAAGATACGCTCATCAAGAGCTTTCATTTGAGTACCCACATGCATTTTTGATATATTTTTCATATATATATATTATATATAATATATATAAATATATATATATATATATATATATATATAATATACATATAAATATATAAAATATATGAAAAATTGATGTGGGTACTCAAATTGAAGCTCTCGATGAGTGTAACATCGGGATGAGCTTATATCTTTAAAAATGTCAATATTATCGAATTTTTAATTTTTTAAGAGAAATAACATTATTGTTTTGATAATTATATTACTTTTTAATTACAGAGAAATTTGAAAAATAAATACCTAAGTGGACGAGAGTAACAGCAGGACCCTGGTGTGCTCAGGATGCTGAGCATCAGCCCAAACAGAAGCAACTTACGTGACGCGAGGACTGTCTGGCGGAGGTTGATCGCCAGCTGAGGATGTCAGAGCAAAACGGGCCCACGGAGGGCCCGGGCTGGTGGCCACCTGCCCAGTCCTGGAAGTCCAGCTCGGGAACCACCGCCTCCTCGCGAACCATCGACGCGGGGAAAAATGTCTCTGTTACGACTATCAATGTTCCACCTGTTGAAGAGATGCATGATGGTAAGTCATTATTATTCAGTTTTTATTTATTATTAATATTAAAATAATGAAAAAGTAAAATTTTTTTTGCAATAATTTTCTTCTCAAAAACATTTTCAGTATCACTCTGTTCATACTAAAATTGACCATGATTTGATCTAAATAATTTGAGACCGTCAAGGTATATTGACGTACTAGTGAGTCATCATCAATTTAAAATTTCCAAAAATACTCTATTAAATCATACTCATATTTGAATTTTTAGATTTTTCCGTCAACTTATTTCATAGTCAGCATACAAAAATAAAATTTATTTTGTCTAAACAAGTGGTCAATTTTAATGAAAACTCATATTATTACTGCTAAATTAAGATCTCGATACGATACAATATTATTAACTCGGAGTGATGTCAATTTAAATCGATCAAGCTATAAATAAGTTCAATATGATCAAGTTAGTTGTAAATCAATCAAATTATTGACGTTATTTATTGCTCAATTTTTTCCAATATAAAAAAAAGCTCTAAAAACATAACCCAAGCCTAGACCCAGAGTAGGGGTACTTAGTAATTATATTTATTGTACTGAGAAAGTGCTTTGGCCCGTTCTCTTTATCGGCAGCACGCTATCGACGTGTAATATAACCAGCGTAGATTTTACTGGCGTATCAAACGCAGATTTAATCCGCATTCCCTCGAGTGGCACTTGAGTAAAGTGCTTTCTCACATCAAAACACAATATCATTTAACTTCAAGTATAAATAATAATCTATATTATTAAGAAAATAAGAAAAATTTTGTTTCCGGTATGTTTATATGATTAAAATTATTTTTTAAGTTAGAGTTAGAATTATTAGAAAGGTCTCGATTTGAATTTGTATTTTTTCAAAGTGCTTTCAGCTGTAATTAATTTATTATAATAAGTATTCAGAGTAGTGGTAGATATAAAAAAGATATTTTCATAGTTAAATTTGTGTTTGTTCACAATTAATATATTTTTTAGTGATAGTAAATTTTTATATTAAATTTTTGGAGGATTTTTGAATAATTTGTTGGTTCTACAAATTTATTTCATCAAATTATTAATAAATAATCATAAGATAAGAATATTATTTTTTTTTATTTATTTTAAAAATACTTTAATAAGTTTTATTATAATTAAAAATATTGAAAAATCAAACAAAAATTTTTTAAAATTACAATTTACAATTATTGGCAGATAGTAGCTGCAGTTTGCTATAGTGTAATTATCAATTTTACTAATAATATTCTTAAAATTAATAAATGTTTTTTTTAGCATCAAGTTTATTATTATTATTTTTTAAATTATTCTTATAATTATTTTTACCAAAAAAAAAATTTCCAAGCCGACCATAAAAATTTTACAATAAATAAATAATAATAAAATTTAGCTAAGAAAATTCAACTTTGAATTCTTTGTTTCAGGCAAAAGCGTAAAATACCTAACCGGGCAGAACGGCGTGACAGTGTCAGTAGTATCTTCCTGCAGCAGCTCGAGCCCCCTGGAGGCCCCGATCGACGACGGGGACAGTGACGGAGAAGTCAGCAAGATCGACTTCCGCGGTGTGAATCTTCGAACGAAAAAAAAGCGCGATGAGTCAGAGTGTCCGAGCGTGGAGTCCCACCAGCAGCCGGAACGACCGATGTCCTGGGAGGGCGAGCTCTCCGACCAAGAAATGTCTTCCAATACCCTGACGAACCCCGAGGAGACCTCCATGGAGGGAGTCCAGGTCTGTGGCGCTAGTCCAGGTCCTCAGGAGCAAAAGTTCCCCATAAAACCCGAACCAGACTTCAGGTCCAGTCCCGGCCTGATCGGGCACGTCGACGCAGCCATGCCTTTGCACGGCCAGCACCACCATCATCAGCAGCAGCATCCCCAGTTGGAGCAAGCTCAGCAAAGTGACTTACCTCTTCTAGTGGGGAAACTCCTCGGCGGGTACTCCTCCACGCCCAATCACAGTCCAGTTTTAAACCCGCGACACCACCTCACTAAGCACAGTCACACCAGGTCCCAAGTTCCGTCCCCAGACTCTGCTATTCATTCTGCCTACAGCGTCTTCAGCTCCCCGACCCAGAGTCCTCATGCGGCAAGACACTCGGCTCTTGGAGCAGGCAGTCCAGTTCCTTCTTCCTCGTTGTCGCTGTCCAGACACAGCTTCAACAATTCTACGTCTTCGCTGTCGTTGTCTTTGTCACACTCGCTATCCAGGAACAACTCCGACGCTTCCAGTAGCTGTTATAGTTATGGGTCCCTGAGTCCTCCCACGCATTCTCCTGTTCAGCAGCCAAGACACCACCACCACCACCAGCATCAACATCAACATCAACATCATCATCAGGTTAGAAGTTTTTTGATTTATAAGTTATACATTGAAAAAAAAATTAACTTGATTCGAGAGGAAAATTCTTGAATCAAGAAAATAATTTTGAAAAGTTTCATTGTCTTGAATCAAGTAAAATTTACTTAAACCAAGTAAAAATTTAGTTTAAGAATTTTTTTACTTAAATCAAAAAAATGAAGTTGTTCAAAATTATATGTTTGATTCAAAAACATTTTTTTTTTCTGTGTACGCACTTGAAAGTTTTAAAAAGGTCAATTTTTTATTTAAACAGAAAATTTAATGACAGTACAGATATTTTCAAATTTTAAGTTCCTGGAGCTAAAACGAGTAAAAAAAATTTTTTTTATGCTCTAATCAACCCAGGAATGTTTAAATTGATTGAAACAAATTTTTTTTTATAAATTTACAAGCTAAAGATTTAATAAAAACCTTTAATTTTTACATAGTTTTCTTAACTAAAATTTTTGGTAATTATTTACAAGTTGGGTCAACCTATGTTGGGCTATGTTAAATTTTTTTTTGATCAAATTGATCAATTGTTCGTTTTTTTATATACTTTGGAAAAAATATATATATATATATATATATATATATATATATATATATA